GAGTCTCCTCTTCTCCAGGCTAAACACCCCCAGCTCCCTCAGCCTCTCCTCACAGGACTTTCCCTCCAGTCCCTTCCCCAGCCTCGTTGCTCTCCTCTGGGCCCGCTCCAGCCCCTCCAGATCTTTCTTGCCGTGAGGGGCCCAGCCCTGCACACAGGGCTCGAGGTGAGGCCTCCCCAGTGCTGAGCACAGGGGCAGAATCACATCCCTGCTCCTGCTGGCCACACTGTTCCTGACACAAGCCAGGATGCCACTGGCCTTCTGGGCCACCGGAGCCAGCAGGCCAGTGGCATCTTGTCAAGGATTTCTTACAAGGATCAATTTTTTTAAAATTAACGTGTCGAAGTTTGTAGGCAAGTGTCCCATGTCTTTCAAATGATGCGTGTGGAGAACAGAATGAAATGCTTCATAAATTTCGGTAAGTGTTCTTACTGCTCTGCTGACAGGCTGCTAGTGTAACAGCTGGCAAAGTGGCTCTTGCAAAGGTTAGCTCTAATGTTCTCCATACAAAGCAAAGCTTTCTTGGCGTAGATAAAAGATTACCTCAATATATAGCATTTTGGTACCGTTTTCTTAGTGTAGATATTGCCTGAGCCAACTTCCCACCTAAAAGTGGGATAAATGAAGTTAGCTCAGTGTTGGTGTGCCTGGATTTGCATTTTGAGGAAGGTATTGCAAATAGGTCCGTATTTTTTCATTTGTAATTGTGCCCATGTGGATGAGCAGGACAGACTTTGGAAGATGATAAGGGTTACGTGGGTCTCATCACTTTTTATACTTTTATGTGAATATTGGAAGGAGTTAGAGTGCTCCACCGCCTCGTTGTGCATAAATAAATATTCAAATTGCAATTTTGGAAAAGAATTATAAATTTCTTTTCAAAATAATGGAATGTAGATGTACACAGTGTATTGAACCTATTTTCTGAGAATTTTATTTTTATTATTTTTTCCTAGTATTTCTTCCTGTTAGTCCTTCTAATAGCAGAACAGTAGCATGTTTAAATTTCTTGTTTTAAGTGAATCATTGGTGTTATACACAAGTGTAAGGAAAACAGGAGCAACTATGAGCTTTTTATTGTTTCAGAACTAAATCAGTTTCTCCAGTTTTGGTGATCAAATAAGAAATAAATTCAACAAGTTGTTCTACTCTTTTCTGAAAGACTCAGTCAGTAACTGCTTCTGAAGGTGATCTGTCCCTCTTCACCCACTTTTTTTCCCATCTTATTCTTTGATTGCACAGAGGCAACTGGTTTCATTGAAAACTTATTTTTACTTCATTTTAAAGCCATGGGGAACTGGGAGTTTTTTTAAATGAGGGTAGGACTTAGGCTGGATTTCATAAAAAGCAGTAACAGATACATTGAAAAGGTTGGAACAGGTATGTTTGAAAAGATCTGGTGTTTGTGGATCTCTCTGAAGGTCATTTAGACTAGCATCTGAATAAATTATAAATAAATAAATAGAAGTAAATTAGCACCTAATAAAATATTGTTTTCCTGATAGCCAAAATATTTCTCTGAGGAGATGAATGCAGGAAGTCATGTGTACATACGTGAACAGACAGCAAAGAATAAGCAAGTCTGATAAAAAAAAATGTAAATTCTCAAAAGCGATATAAAATGAATGCTACGTATCTTCAGATAATTACGTATAATACAATACCATTCTTTTTTGATTTCATTGTTCTTAATTTAATGTTCTTACATGTATGGGAACCCATCCCCCGATGTGTCTCATTTTCTTCAAAAATTAGTTCAGGTTCATATTAAAACAGCTGCTACTATCTGTACTCATAATGATGTACATTTTGAGACTGAATTGAAGTCTTTGGGATCTATCATTGCATTTTCTCCTTCTGGCTTGTTTAGCTTTCCCTTAAGTTTGATCCTAATGCTGAACTGCCTGCTTTTCATCCTTATTATTTCAGAGATTAGTGAACATTTCTTAACATATTTTGTGTAAATTACAGTAGTCCATTCAACCATCAGTTAGCCATAAAATCGTCTTTATGGATAGGCTTTGCAACTGGAAAATATTACAGTGAAGTGTGTGGCCTGCATATCCTGTGAAAATCCATGTGCTTTTCTGAGTAGTAAGTGCAGGTTTTCTGTAATGAAACTAATATTTAGTTTTGCAGAAAATAGATTTTAGTAGATAGGATGATCTTATTTTGAACAGTATGTTATTTGTGGTCCTGTTCTGATGTAGTACTGAGATACTCATGCATTTTAAGTAATGTAGTTTCTGTATTTTGATTTTAGGAGAATGACATCTTCCTGGGCTGGGAAAAGGGAGCTTACAAGAAATGTGGAAAGAGTAAGAAAAAGTGCTCTGATCTAACACTAGAGGAAATGAAAAAGCAGGCTGCTGTCCAGTGTCTTCGCTCTGCTTCTGATGAAGTAAGTTTGGACTGTTTGAGAGATTCTTAAGACTTTATTCCCTCCTTTATGTTAAATATGTATAGCTGGTGATCCTTACCTTTTAATTTGTGCCTTCGTAAAATGCAAGTTTGCCAAGAGTTCTCTCAATGTTCTTTATTTTGCTTTAGGAAATTATGAAATCTGTGTATGGCAACAGGATTTCACAAAAGATTCTGTACAATGTAATGTCATGCTTTCCTTTCTGTAAGCCCTCATCTAGTCCTGTCAGTGACAGTTGCAATGCACCAGTTTGTGTTGAAATTGCCGTAAAGCTGTGCGTAAAGGTATTTCTTGCAATTCCAAATTTATTTTGTGTTGTGTGTGAGGAGCACACTATTTGGGCAGAAAGCGATCTTGCTTTGTGCACGCTATATGTGTAATCAGAATTGCTACATAAAATGAAATGTATAGTAGCAAATCTTCACCATCCAGATTACTTTATTGAGTGGAAGGGAAGTTAAAATGCACAGACTGGAGAAGGTGAGGAGGGATGCAGGCAGCAGGTTGGAAGAAGATACCCGAGGCAGCAGATACCATATAGTTCAGTGGAAAAGTAGAGAAAGTGAGAGACTGTTGCAGTAAATGTTAAAAAATAAAAAAAATAATCTGTAGCCTAGGTCAGTGAAAGCTCTCCAGGGAGATCTTTCAGACAGCAGAAATGAGAAAGTCTTAGTTTGCAGAACTACAGATACTCTGATCTGTCACTACTGTAGGAAGGAAATCTGTGCTGCCTGTTGCTCCATACAGCTTCCTAGTCACAGGCTGTACTTGTGCAAGCGTTTGTGTGGTCATGTGGAGACATAGATTGGGAAAGTGAATCAGTTCCCTGAGATTAACCTGGTTGGGGCGCAAGAAATTAACCCAGAGAAGTTTCTTGGTCAGATTTGTAGCGCAGACACTTGTGTCAGCAAGAGTGAGGAAGGTGCGTGGCCCGGAATAATAAAGGAGGTGGGGTTGATTCTTGAGGCTATTCCAACCACCACCACTTTCAGCAGCATTACCATCATCTAGTGGCAAACTGTTTGTGAAGCTACTGGAGCATTCAGTCAGTTACTAAAGTGCAAACTGACTACCTGGGAGACTCTTGAAAACTCCCATTTTCCCTTTACTTACTGTCCTAACAAAATGATGCAAAATATAATTTTGCTGGTAATTTGCTCTGCTCTCATATTTACAGAATATTGAGGTCAGCACTCTACCTCAAAAGTTAATTTAAATATGAGCAAGTATGAAGAAATAATGACAAGAAGTAATGTCTTTCTTGAGGATATGACTATCCATCGTACACTCTTGTTATGAACAACAAAAAGCAGTAGTCTCATACATTTACCACCAGGGATATTTATGATTGATTTTTAACTCTAGAAATTGCTCTGATCTGTCTTCGCATAGCTGAAAATCAAGGAGCTAAATATATGTTATCTAGAGAAATCTAGCTGAAAAGAAAAAGAAAGAGGTAAATTTTGTTAGTAAATTAGTAAATTTTAGTAGTTTGTGTAACCTAAAACAGAAGAAGGAAGGAAGAAACCCTTCAACTAGAGTTTGGAAAGAATAAAAAGATGCGTGGTCTGAAAGGCTGAACGAGTTAATTTCCTCCTTTGACTCCTGTCACCTTCTTGGATTTTTGTTGTTCAGCATAAGCCTATAATCTACAATGTGTCGACTTTTCTTGTGTCAGGGCTATTTTGACTTCTATTGCGTGCTCAGACAATTAAATTTGCATGTTTGTTGCCTTTAATGAAATGATGGTTGTAATTCTTTTTAATGTATTTTCAAACAGGGTGAAACCTTTTAAATGTTTTTTTAAAAAGAGTTAGTTAAAACTTTTCTGTATGTAGTTTAATAGGTGTATTGCATAAGAGGGGAATTTTTGGTTTTTTCTATAGATTCTTATTTTTTAACATGAATTTGGGGGGAAGGATGATCCTGCTTTGATGCTAGTGATATTTTAAAGTACCTGGTGATATATCTTTTTTTCCTGCTTTTCAAGCACATTTCCTATGTTGGCTGGTTTCTGTACTTAGGTTTGTGTGCTAATCTGATGGGAATAATCAGTAGATTTTGGACTGTGAAACATAATGTTAAAATACTACTTGTGCTGAGGCATTCAAGTTGCTCCATGCAATGTTCATGATTTCGTGTCTACAAAAAGACAGATATATTGTGGTAACTGCAGCCAAAATTGATGATTATTGTGTGTGTGAGGAGCACTTATAAAAGCTGTTGAGATAGGAATGAGTACTTTTTTTCCAATGCCACTTTAATTTTTTTTAAATTGTTTTCTGATTCATCTGAAAGTGTTTATCTGTAGAGATTTTTTGTTGTTGTTGTGAGATAGGCAGATATGCTCATTAGTATCTTCACAGATACATCAACTAGGAGCTTTGTTCTCGCAGTTTTTTCTTCTTGCAATAGTCCAGATGGGCATTGTGGAGCTTACTTGGGGCTTTGCTGTCCTTCTGTGATCCTTTTTTTTCACAGTCAGTAGATACAGAAATACCAGCACCCTCACGTAGACAGGGAACACTTGCCCTTCCAGCCCAGCCTCGTCTTTCAGCATTAGCATGGAGCAAAGCAAGCAGGGCTGAGGTAGCTCCGCTACTGGGAGTAATCAAAAGAAGTCTTAGTGTACATAAGTACATTTAAATAAAATCGTTTTATAAGGGAAGTGGTTAGAATGTTTACTATATATGTGTCTGTAGGGAGAGCACACAAACAAACAAACCCCCCAAAATAGAGAGACAATTAAATGAAGACTTCAAATTCTGCAGCCTGGTCTATTTTAGCAGGAAAAATGTGAAAAGGATGAAAAGGTACAGGTGGTTGATAATAACTTTTCTAACTCTTATAGGAAATGACAGAGATCCAGGCACCATAATTTTGATGTTATTTTTAGTTACTGAAACGAGTAATACGTTGAGAAATTGGAGTCAGTCTCCTCCCTCCTGCTAGTAATCAAAGGCTCTGAAATTGGGTGATAACTTCAAAAAGATGCTTAATGGGGAGAGGAAGTCATAAAAGGGATTAGATGAAAATTGTTCTGTTTTGTCAGTCTTTCATTTAATGGTTGAAATAAATATTTTGAAATCTTGTCACTTGTAGATTTCCATTTATATAGTATTAATTTTTAGGGAGTACTTTATTTGGCAACTTAGTTTTGTTTGAATTCAGTTTTTTGGCTCTTTTTAATAAGAGGAATGCTGTAAAACACTCATCAGAGACAGAAATCCAAGATTCTACTTAGAATTTTATGGTGCAGAAATCAAACATTTGACTTCAGAAAGCCTAGAATTTGGTGTTTATTTCTAAAACATTTCCTGAGTTATGGAGTGTGACAAGTCAGAGAGGCTGCAGACTCTTGACTGCTCTGCATGATTCTGCCTTGCAGTGGCAGAGCTTGTCCTGCACTAAGTGCTTGGGTGGAACAGGCCTGATTTTTGACAGAGTATCTGCTTTATGAAAGGATGCAGGGCCAGTGAGATCCTGGAGTGCATTGAGAAGAGTGTGTCCAGCAGGTCTGGGGAAGTTCCTCTCTACTCTGTCCTGGTGAGACCACACCTGGAATACTGTGTCCAGTTTTGGCCTCACCAGTTCAAGAGAGACGGGGACCTACTGGACAGAGTCCAACGGAGAGCTACGAGGATGATGAAGGGACTTGAACATCTCTCCTGTGAAGAGAGACTGAGAGAACTGGGGCTGTTTAGCCTTGAAAGGAGACGGCTGAGAGGGGATCTTATAAATGTATATAAATATCTGAGGGGTGGGTGTCAAGGGGAAGGAGACAACCTCTTCTCAGTGGTGCCCAGTAATAGAACAAGAAATAATGGGTTTAAGTTAAAACATAGGAAGTTCCACCTCAACATGAGGAGAAACTTCTTTACTGTGAGGGTGACAGAGCCCTGCCACAGGCTGCCCAGAGAGGGTGTGGAGTCTCCTTCTCTGGAGACTTTCAAAACCTGCCCCGATGTGTTCATGTGTGGCTGCCCTGGGGCATCCTGCTCTGGCAGGGGGGTTGGACTGGATGATCTCTAGAGGTACCTTCTGACCCCTGACATTCTGTGATTCTATGTATGTTCTGAGGACTATATTTTTTGTGTGACAAGCATTTTGGTGTCTCAGCTCCTCTCTGTTTGTATGAATCTTTGGCTGCAGATGCTCTGGATGCAGTCAGAAGCAGACCAAATACAAGTATTTTCCAACTTTCCAGAAAATAAAGACAGAATGGTAGTGAGGAGAAGTTTTAAATAGAAGTACTTTAATGGAGCGATCAGTTGCTATTCTTACTGGAGTTACAAAGTTTATTTTTTTTTCCAAAACACTTGAATGGAGTATAAATGGCAGTTCAAAGATGTGCTGAAAAATTGTCCAGATCTAAAAAGCTTATTATTATTGACCTTGAGTAGAGATTTTATCTTAATTTTTATCCTACTGAATTGCAGAAGAAATTTTAAAATGTTGGTTTGCAATTAGCTGGCAAAGAAGGAGTGTCCATTTTAATGAAATGTTGGAGAAAACCCCAGCTGTTCAGGACTGGGGAGTATTTGTGTGAAAGTCCTTTGGGCAAAGTAGGAGATTTTATCCTGAAATTATTCCCTCAAATTTTAAGTGAACCCAGCTGTTTCTGTCAGCATTAAATGACTTACATGGTTAGTTCTGAGTTTGATTTTGGTTTGGTTTTGATGCTTTTTTAAATTCCTGTCTGGTGTGCCTAAAACTAAGAAGGTTAGTTTGTTCATGTATAGTTTTTGAGAATTTTTTTTTAATTATTTTTTTAAAACATTGTAATTATGAAGGTCTGTAAATTATTTTGGAGTTGAATAATGCAACTCAGAAGTTTAGTAAAAAAATAGAAGTTTAGAAGTTAACGTGTGTTGTATTTTTGCAAGGTGGATGTTATACTGTCTAAGCAAGATTGGAATTAGAGGTTACTTGTTGAGACTGACAAGTGTTAAGACTTTTCAGTTGGTATATTTCCTAGTAATAACATTGAAATTACTCATGTTGCATGA